GGGGGGCAACCGCAGCAGTGGAATGTAATGTAATAATGTTTATTGTTATGAGCCGCTTTATATGCGATGCTACCAGCGGCCAACCAGGACATAGAACGCACAAAAGATGTAAGGACAACAAGAATAACCACAACAACAACAACAACAGCAGAAAGCAGAGTTGAAAGAAAAAACTTGAGCCGTTGTAAAACTTACTACGTGAACATAAACGAACCAACAACAATAGTAACAAGCTACTAAGATGAAAAGTTTTCTAAGAGCTTGTGTAACTCAATGTGAACTTTAGAGTATGGGAAGGGGAAGAGGAAGGGGAAGGGGAAGGGGAAGAATGGATGTGCTGCTTTTCGGATCTATTTAAGTGCCTCATTTATATACAAAAGACGCCCGGAGATATTTTAAAAAAATATATCAAATAAAATAAAATTCTAGTTTCATCCGCATGGATAAAGTTGCAATTGTGAAAGTATCTGACGCACATACACGCACGCCTTAAACACATACACACACACGGGATATCCAGAAAATAAAGCAAAACGAAAATCAAATGTAAACTGGCGGTTAATTCAATTTCTACAAAAGGCTGGCAAGCATTCTGTGCATTTGTTGAATTAAAAATGCATGCAAACACCCTGTACGTCTTACACTAGGTTTACACATAAGTAGATTATCCTTATTTTCGAGCTTAACTCCCTAATCTGTAATTAGAAAAAGAGATAAGCCATACAAAATGCATCCCTCTTTAATCTGTAATCGTAAAAAATCTCAGATTAAACCGATAACTTTTCGGTGGCCAACCTAGGAGAGGAGAAATGCCAAATGTAAAAATAGACAAAAATGGACGCTAGCAAGGAAAAGCGGTTTGTAAAGGTATTTTTAATAATACCTTAAATTAAAACATATTTAAATTGCTTAATATAGCAGAAAAAAGTGATCACGGTGGCACAGAGAAGAAACATAGCTTTTCCTCGAGATGTGAGAATAACAAGCACAACAAATTTGACGGCTAATAATCTGAGATTTGCCTGTGTAAACGTGGTGATTACAAAACGAGCTTTGATTGAGATTATATTCATATGTAAATATACTTTTATGTTGATTTGAATATTTCCATTCGACATCTCAGCAAACCAAAATTTCCAAAATCTTAACGAAACGAATTTTCAAAGATAATTAAATATATACATACACTGGCAATCAACCGTGAGTGCATGGTATTTTTTGTTTAATATTTGCAATGTTTTTCAAGTTAAAATTTTTTTGTTTTTATAAAAATATAGTTCATGCTTTAATCAAAACCACATAAATCAAACTTTCAATCTTCATACAGAACTTAGAAAAATGTAACAAATTTTCGTCTGAATTTTGAACTTTTTAATATGAATTCTTAGAAATTTGGAGCGCGCAGATACATAGATCGGTATTTAATTATGTTAAAAGCAGTGCAGGTTTCAAGCGGTCAAAAAACCGCGTTGATTTTTAATGATTTCTTATTGCTGTCGGCTGTTTGCACCTTTTACCATATAAAATGGATTTTTTTTTAATAAAATAGGCAAGACCGTTTGCAAACAAAAAGTTTAAAATTGAGACGAAAATGTGTTGAATTTTTCTAAGTTCTGTATAAAGTTTGATTGTTTGATTTATGTGGTTTTGATTAAAGTGTAACCCATATTTTTATAAAAAAAAAAATTACTAAATTATACTAAACGGCCAATAAGCAACACAATCAAAAAAAAATTATTAAAAAAATTTTACCTTGAAAAACATTGAATTATTAAACAAAAAACACCATGCACTCACTTTTGATTGCCAGTGTACATACAGTTGTCCACTATTTTCACTATTTTTCATTTGTCTCTTTAATGTTTATAATTTTTTTATAAAAGCCTATTTGGTTATAAAACAAACATCATATAAATTGGCAATGCAAAGTTTATACAAAAATTATAAAAATTCTGCAAATTTTATTCAAAATTTCAAACTTTTTAATCAAAATATTAAAAAAAAAACATCTCGATATGCTGTTTTGTAGCCCATTAAACGAAGTACAAGTTTCAAGTTGGTAAAAATCCCGTAGATTGTTGAGAATTTTTTTAATTGTAGATGCTTCGAATTTTTTCCATTCAAAGTATGTTCGACAATTTTCTTTTATATGGAAGACATTACCAGCAAAAATGAAATGTAAAAAATCAACGGGATTTTTAACAGTTTGACACTTGCACTTCATTACACTACACTACAAATTAATGGACTACAAAACTGAAAACCAAAACTATTGTATTAGCATAAAAATTCTTTTATTTATGTGTGGTCAATCGGTGGGCTACCTGCAGCTCATTCCAATAGTGTCTGCTCTTATTTTTCGGTCTCAAAGTTATAAGACAAAAAAGCAAAAAGCTAAAAAACTATTTTTTATGGAACGGTCTAATGTACATTCATGTATGTGGGGCCAAGTATATAAAGTATGATAACTTAATTTTTTTTATTTTCAATCGTTTTTTTTTTTTTTTTGATAAACCATATTTAAAATAAGCTCTCATATTAGTACCTTACAAGAACCTTTTCAGTTTATGAAGTAAGTAAAATTAGGTCACCAAAGCTTTAATTTTTTGTGTATGCCTTTCTTCTTAAAACATGAAATAGGGTCATCATTTTTATACAGAGCATTCACAGATATATGAAAATACCAGCAGATTTATTAAACAAGTCCGTGGTGGATTGGTGAAATACTGAAAACCCTGGTTAATTTCACAAAACTATCGCAGAAGAAATTTGTCCAGTTTAAATTTAAAAAGCAAAAAAACTATTCAAAGTATTCATTTTAACAATAATTTGAAGCAATTTTTTGCACTTACCCAGTGAAGAAATATTTATGCAGTTCATGTACATTGATACATACATACATACATACATACATACATATGTGTGTACGTAATCGTGTACATAAGTTGAAATTTTGACTTTATCCCACACACGCCTTAGCAATCTTCTTTCGATGTTAGTTTGTATGTATGTACATATATTTTAGTGTATAAGGTAAGCATACAGTACCTACCTAAATACATTTCGGCATAAATTTTCGCATGAGTTCTTGAACGTAAACAAATTCATAAAGTCATGTGTGTGACCTCGTGTTTATAATTCTATTGAATAATATTTGTGTGCAATGAAGAAAACTCACAATGTTACAGACAGAGTTTTACAATGAAGACAAAGTAGCTGTAGCTGTAATATTTGTATACTTGTATTGAAAATAAAATCGTACTAAAGAGTTGATTCGAAATTCTTAAGTACAAGTGGAAGACTAGATAGACCTATAAACTAAAAAACAAGATAGACCCACCAACCAAAATGATAAGGACAATGACCTGAGTCACTTTGATCACGTCTTTAGCGATATCGCACTGCAGTTTGGTATTTTGTTGCTGGCGACAAGGTCTCCCATACAACTGATTGTACAAAAATTAGATTTGGTTTTATGACCCCTGCACTTAAGCTGCTAAAATTGTAGAACTTTTCACTATTTTTATTTATCATGAAACGAGAGAGTTTACAGGGAAAAATCGCCAAGATCGGTCCATATATATATGTATACATATCCGGGAACCGAGCAGAGAGTGTCATTAAGATGGCGTAGATCCGAATTCACATTTCCGCTTGGCTATGCTCAAAGATCAACTAATATGCATAATGGACCTATACGTACATGCATACGTCCAAATTTATGTACTAGGGCTGGGAACTTCATCCGGATTTTTCTACTATCCGGATAAACCGAATATTCGAATATCCGGATACCTAAATGAAAAATCCGGTTACTCTGGAAGCTAAGATAATATTCGGCTATCCGAATATCCGGATTATTCGTTATCAAAACGATACTTTCATTTCCCAATACCTGGCGCTCATAAATGTGTAGTAACAAGTTTTCTATTTCTACGCACAAAATTGTTTGTATAAATTTTAAAATTTCCAAAATTCTACTTTTTTATTTCAAAGGCTTCTACAAACGAATTAAAAAGTTCAACAAACAAATATATGCGTATAGAAAACTTGCTACTTCATATGCATGAGCGCCTGGTATTGGGAAATTAAAGTATCGTTTCGTAAAAATAAAAAATAAAATAAAATTGAACGGGAGAGTTTTTTCATGGCTTTAAAATATCATGGACGGAATAATGAAAGCTATTACGATACTTTTGGTCGTGGTGAATTTTTTACCAAATTGTAGCATTTCTAAAATTGATGACAGGAATAGTGCCATTTGTTTATATTGTGACAAAACGATACAAAACAAAAGGTCAACTTCAAGTCCGTCAAGAGCTAATTCACTCTATCGTGTGCATAATTGAATTCACGAATATTATTAATCAGTTTGTAGATTTTTTTTGGATATCTGAAAATACGAATATTAACCGGATCTTCGTAAATCCGGATATCCGAATACTTGCACAAGCGAATATTAACCGGATAACCATACTATCCGGATTTTATTCGTGTCAACGGATAATCCGCATGGATATCCGGATATGCGAATGTGCGGATAGTCCCAGCCATAGTATGTACATACATATATACAATAACAAATAGAAATGAATGCTGAATATTGCGAGCTTTGTTTATTTATTATTTTATTCATGTTTGC